AACCTATTGTGCTACAACTAACAACAAAGTTAAATCCTACACAAATAATCCTACTTTAGCAATTTAGACTAATAGATATCAATTACTCTAGAGAATCTTCCTTGTAATGAGTTAAGTGAATTACATGGAAGTTGCAAGTACTAAAAGACTAGTGACAAATAAGAGCAACAATCTTCCTTACTCTCTCCTGAGTGATTACATAAGCTTGGATAAAATTGACTTTAATTCCTTAAATACCATAACTATCCCTTCAAAACATATTTCTCTAACATTTGCATCTTCCTATAAGGCATATCAACCTATATCACATAGTTCAATATGATTAACTTTTAATTCTATCATAGCTCAAGTCTTATAGCTCACAACATATTTTAACAATTCACTTGGTCAGAATGAAACTTAAACAGGTTAATCAACACTATTTGAAAATGAAAAAATTACATAGCACTTAACATTCCATTCATTCTACCAAATCATCATAAGAAAGATAAGAGGGTTTACCTAAGAAGCATGCTGATTTCACCAAATAAATGCATTGAACACAATAGAAATCCACTAAATCTTCTTCAAAAGAAACACACAAAGCAATAAATAAAGAGACTTAACTATTCCTACTTTATAATGACCAAAGTTAATTCCAAATACCATTCATCTTGATTTCCCCACTCTTGTCTGGTAGAACACCACTTTCTCAGCACTTAGAAGAACTATGGTTCCCCAAAGCAAAATAAAAACCCTGAACAACTAGCCAACATCAATCCCTCAATCCTGCAAATAGATGACTATTTATAAGCTCCAATACTTAGCATCCACGACACCATTCCTTCAACACAAGATTTCCCCACAACCTGACACTTGAACTGCAACAGCTGCCCAATCAATTTTTTGAGGAATGAACGGGCGCCTAACTGCCAAAGGATCCGATGCCTAGCCACTGGTATCGCGGTGCCTAGGCGCCCAATGGTTTGTCCTTAAGCGTCAACCATTTGGGTTTGGAAGGCAGGGACTGGCGCTTAGGCGCCGTAGGGTCAGGCTCCTAGGCGCCAATGCCACTTTTCACCATTCAGCTCCAAGTCCTCTCCTAGTTTCCACACTTTAATTACCTGTTGTACTTCAAGTAAAATGCAAAAACACATTTCTTAAAGTACAATATCTTTAGTAGAACTATATAAAAACAATCCAAATTTCTAGTTAACTTTTTCGTGCATCAAAACCCAAATCCAACCAACATTTCATAGCCCAAATTCAAATCACCAAAATCTTCAAAACCAAATCTCAAATCCAAACCTCTTATTTTAAAACCCAAATCAAAATATTCAATTTTAAACTTCAAGTACAAATTTTTTCAAAACCTTCAAAACCATATTCAAAGCTCTCAAACTTTCAAATAAAAATCAAAACCTTCTCAAGATAAAACAAAAATTTTAAATCCCTTCAAATAAAAGAAAATAGTTCAAAACTTTAGAAGTAAAAAAAAACTTAAGCTTTCAAAACCTTCTTTAAAATTAAAAATATTTGAAAATTATAAAACAGCTTAAGACTTCAAGTCACTTTTAGAAATTTAAAACCTCCACAAAACCAAAACTTAAAAAATATATGAATGGTATTTCAACAAGCTTTAACAAATTCCATCAAAATTTAGCCATACCTTAATAATCTTTATCAACGTTAACCAACTTTAACAAAACTTAACCAATATTAACAACTCTTAACTAATTCTAACAACCTCAACAAACTTTAATAAACTTCAACCAATTTTAACAAATTTTAAAAAACTAAATAAATAACTTTAAGAAATAGTTAACCATTTAAAAATGAACTTTTAATAACCTTAAAACAAACTAAAAATCTTCAAAAAAATCTCTTAAATAAACTTCAAATAAATTAAATATTTATATAACATAAATGTCAAATAAACCCTCAGAACCTTCATAACTTAAAATATACCTTAATAAATCCACTTAAAGCAACTTGAATCAACTTTTAATTTGAAATTAAACCCAGCCAACTAAAATTCTCAACTCACGCGAATCAATCAAAATCAATTTCCAATCTCCAGAGTGTGTTTTCTTCCTAGAGTTAGCCAACCCTATTCATCAACCTTTCCATAACACACAGTTATTGAACTATAAGTCCCATCCTTTTTAAATTCATGCAAATCCTTTCATACTCTAAGTTAGTCAATTTGAGTATCAAGTGTCAATCTCATAGAAACTTATCGAATAATTATACACGAGATAAGAAACACTTTAATCAAGAGTATTTCCAAAATCCACAACATTTAAGATATAATTAACTACGAAGGTTTCCCCTCATAGTGATACCATGCACCAAAATAAAATAAACTCTATCTTACACCCATAAGATAGGGGAAAAACTCTGGTTCCGTACACCAATAAATTATATAGATTTTCATCGTTTGAGTGATTAGATCAATTATAATGTAATTTTTCTATTCCTTAGAGTAATGTATTATTCTTCGGATGACACATTCAATCATGTAAGAAGAAATCTTCTGAGATATATGATGGAATCACAATGAAAAAATTTCGACCATTCACCTCATAGATGGTGACACATTTGTGTAGAGGTAAACAAGTTTGATCATACTAACCAAACAACTTAACCACCATATCACTTACAAAATAAAACTTCTTATAAAAGAATAGAAAATCTTTTATAATTGTTGATGTTGTCTTTTTAATATTCTGATATTTTTGTGGCCTTTAAGGGGGTTGGGATTCTTTAGACATTTGAACACCAAAGAAAAAACAGGCATAAGAATCCATTGTTTTATAGGCAAAAACTACCTTGACTGGAGTAGGCAAAAACAGCCTAGCTTGGTAAGGCAACAATCGTCGGAGAGCAACAATCTGAACTTAATAGACAAGAATTGCTAAATGGGATTGGCAACAATAGCTTGAAGAAATTAGGCAACCACAACCTATAGATCAAATAACTATAGTCTAAAGAGGGGTATGACTTCTCTCCTTTCAAAGGGGGTATTTATCGTTGAAATTTTCATTAAAAGAGCAGAATTCTTAGCTAGTGAACCCATGAATGCATACCGGCTTGCAAGTTCGTTCGCTTTTGCGCCTGTGAATGATTGTGCAACCAATCTGATGCTCGTGCACACAGTGCATGACCCACCATTTAGACAAGAATTGCTAAATGGGATTGAGCAACAATAGCTTGAAGAAATTAGGCAACCACAACCTATAGATCAAATAACTATAGTCTAAAGAGGAGGGGTATGACTTCTCTCCTCTCAAAGGGGGTATTTATCGTTGAAATTTTCATTAAAAGAGCATAATTCTTATCTAGTGAACCCATGAATGCATACCGGCTTGCAAGTTCGTTCGCTTTTGCGCCTGTGAATGATTGTGCAACCAATCTGATGCTCGTGCACACAGTGCATGACCCACCATGCATACACCCACAACTCATCATGTTCATGCACCCGCCAGACAAGCACGCCGCCGACGCACATGCACGTCCTCTCGGCACACTGACCTATGCTCCACAATGCCCACATGCCCCTGGCACACAAACACGCACACTCAACAGTGCACAGGCTTGCGCCTGCATGACTAAACACCAAGCACCGCCAAACAGCTGCCATTCGACCAACGTTGAGCTACCGTTACCACCAACGTCGAGTTGTCACTGTCGAACCAAATGCTTTTTCCAAAAATATTCATTATAATATTTCTTAACATTCCAAACTCAATTTGTGTATCTTTAAAACTTCACGAAACATCAATAACAAAAATATTCTCAAAGTACAAATTAGTGGAACATCTAAGTTATATTTTTCAATAATACCTATAAATTTATGGACGACACAAGTGACATCGCCCGAAAATAAGAGGCAATCTCAATGCATTTTTTTTATAAAGGAACTTTCAAATTCAAATTCAAATTCAATATCATTTGATCCACAATTTCAGCAAGGTGATAGTCAAAGTGACCATCTAAACTAGATGACCTTGATGATGCATTTCAAACTTGATTCAATCTGCTTCCAATCAAGCTTATATCAAGTTATTGAAGCACAATAGGGGGCTTTGGATCGTCGAGACTTTGGATCGTCAATTGAATGATCAAATAATCTCTAATTTTGGCATGTCTATAATCAAATCGTGCATCTTGACGAAATGAATCTAAAGAGTCTAAGATTGCTCAATTCGAATGTCATTAATGCACACCCAAATCCTTATAATACTATCTATGATCAGAAGGATCAGCATAGATCGTCCAATAAAGTGATTAAGAAAGTTATGTGCCAAAAGATCAAAATACCCATACCAAAATGCTATAAAATAAGCCCCCACGAAAAAGAGAATGAGAAGAATAAATTTCATAGCATGTTCTGGAGAAGACCCACGATTAACCATCGACCTCTGCAGCCGCCACTATCACCACTTGACGCCAACAACCACTGACCGTTGGTGACTAATGCTTTACTGTTGTAGTAGATGTTTCTAACACCTTTTTTTTTTGTATCGTATAAAGACAAGTGTATGTTTCATTGTAAAAGTGTAACTAAAAATTTTTTGTTATGAGAGAAAAACTACCCCTTGTACTAAAAATATATATAATATATTAGTTTGACTGGACTATACCATATGATTTTTCCCATTCAAAAAGTTTCACATAAAAATTGTTAGCATCTTTTATTGTTATTTTTCTTTTATCTGTGTGTGATGGATATTTGTACAATGCTAAGAAGTTAAAAAATCAATTCATCACTGAAAATTTTTTGGCACAAAACAATCTCAAACAAACTGATTCCAATTAAAGAACCGCCAATAAGAATGTAGTTAAAAAAAATTATTTTTTTATCATACAATATAAAGATGTGCCAATAAATTTATTATTAAAACAAATAAAGAAGTAAAAAAAAAAAACATAATAAAAAGTGCCAATAATTTTATTTAAGCAGACAGATCCAATAAAATTCTTTAAAAATAAAAAAAATAAGCATAAATATTCCAAACAACTAAATATTATAATATACGAACAAATGAGAAATAAGCATCGCAGCAATAACCAATGGCACAATGATTTTGATGATATCAAAAAATATGGCTCTTCTAGGATTGAGATTGCGAAAGATGGCTCACCTTCAAAGGCTCATAAATAACAGCATTCACAGTACCATCCATTTCCGTGGGTGAGGTGAATCCATCATTGTTTCTATAAAATATATACGCTGCTTTGCACGTTTTCCAAAACACCTCTTTGCATGCTCTTGGAACCACGCTTCCCTTGTTCTGGAGAACCAGCCCAAGCAACTCAGCCCTAGTGGAGTCTATCAAACTCCACATATGTTTTCTGGCATCTTCTTCAGAAATAGAGCCATTTCCATGGTGAACAATTAGCCACAAGCTATTTAGTTTCCCTGTTGCTTTCTCTCTCTGTGATTTCATCAAAGCTCTTTATTACAATACAAGCAGTGTTATAGAAAAAGAAACTGAACAAATACTAACAATGACATTCCCCAAAAAAATCAAGTACTAACAATGCAATCCAACCTTGAAATGGATTCTTTAGACTGAATGGATGAATGAAACTTACTGAAATTAGCTAAACTAGCTAAACGAGTGCTTTGTAAACTGAATACTAATGGGGTGCTTGGTTGTCGATAAACTTTAGATTAAACAAGATTTAGCAAATCCAGAAAATCCGGATTTTATCAAATCTAAATGTTGTAAATCAAAAATAGAGTTTGGCTCAATTTAAGGTTAAATCCATTAAATTCTTTTACCATGTTTGGCATAAATTCACTCCTATGACTTTCCTCCTAAGCAAAATCCGTTAAAATGCACGTGATAATTAGATTTAATAAATTCAGATTTGAATTAAAAACTAGCGGAAGCAAAAGAACATTGGATTTAGCAATGTGTGGATTCAATTCCTCTGATTTTTTTTGTTGGCTGGATTTATGTTAAATTTGCATAAATTATGTTCAAATTTGGCTACCAAACAACCCATAAGTTTGACATATATATTGGTTTGGCCTCACGCTCCTATTGCATGTTCATCAAAATTCAAAGCTAAAATCTACTCCACTAATTCCAGGCTTAAGTGCAACGATTTATCCAGTTAATGCTAGTAACATGGATTCGACAGGAATGTTTGGTGTACGAACTCTGCCATGGTTTTTTCTACCAGTCGCGGCTCTTTTTTCCTTTTTCTTTTCCTCTTTTACAAACCCTAATCCCAACTACTGTTCGGATGGAAAACCTCGCCTTCTTCAGGAAGGCCTAAGCCCCGGCTTCATGGATCCGTCCAGCTTCCCTCCCTTCTCTAAGAATCCCTCTTTTTTCCTTGGAAAACCACCATCTCTTAACGGAAATGTTTAATTTCTTCCCAACTCCCCTATTCTTAAAACTTCAACTTTTTTTTTATTCCATGTAACAACGAATGGGTAGACTTATCGGATGAAGAAATAGATAATGGTTCCAAGAAATGGAGCCTTGCCCTCATGGTTTATGCACTTGGGAAACGCCCCTTTTATGGTAACCTCCTAAAAACTATTCGGAAAAAATGGAGTTTCATGAGGTACCATAAACACTATCCCTCTAGCAGACCAGTTTTTTCCTTTTAGTTTACATCCGTGGAAGATTTTGATATGCTCTTGCTTGGGAGTCATTGATTCATTAGTGGCAGACCTTTTATAGTAATCAAAGGGAATTTTAATGAAATTCCGATTTGGATTAAGCTACCTAATCTTCCTCTTTCCAGTTGGACTGAAAATAAGATTTCCAAAAATAGTCAGTAAAATAAGTATACATTAAGTTGTCGATCCTCTTACAACTAGGGGAAGCCAGCTTACCTTTAACCGTGCCAGGGTGTAGATTAATACAAACACCATCTTGTCAGATTCTATTATTATTTTTGTGAAAGAAAAAAGGTTTTACAGCCTGTTGAATATTAATGGAAGACTAAACCGTGTATGGCCTGTAACACATTTGCACATCACTCTACCACTTGCCCCAAATCCCCTAATTAAGTCCCTCATTAACTCTAAAGCCTCACAGAGGCAGAAGTCAGAGTCAAACCCTCTTGATACCTTCTAAAATCGGTCCACCTCTCCCCTTCAAAGATAATTCCTCTCCAAACCCACCAAACAACTCCTGACTTGAACTTCTCCACCTCTGTTGAAACAAAAATTTCAGAAACTCCCCAGGAAATATCTACTTTCCCTCAACCACTCTAGAATACTCTTTGTGCCTCCTCCAAAAGAACCCAAGGTTGTCAATTCATTTGATATTTCCCAACAAATTCCCCAATCTACATTACCTTTCAGCATATTATTCTTTAATAATGAACCTAATCCCTCTTCTTCCACCCAACCCATTGCCAACAAAACCACAAAGTGCAGATAGCTCCTAATCCCAGCAATCTTATGTTAAATCCAAATATTGGTGTTTGAAATGATAGAAACTATTGGTGATAACAGTACTGATTGTAGAGATCTTGTCAAAGAGCATAACTTGGATGTTATTTGCTTGATTGAAACAAAACTTTCTGCTTCTATTGTTGCTAACCCCACTTCTACAATCATTATAGAGTTTTTCTACTGAAGGCAACACTAAAATTTTTGATAAGTCCTCTAATGGTCGTATTTGGTTAAAGTGGAACACTTCCACTTCCTTATTTGTGTTGGAATCCCATGCTCAATACAGTCATGCTTATTTAACTTCCTCTTCAAAGATTAGCTTTTATATTATTTTTATGTATGCTGATATGACATTAACAAAAGTTTTAGACTGAAATCTCCTATTGTGCTGATAAGATAAATGGCACATGGGTGATTTTAATTGTATTAGAAATGTCGCTGAAAAGTGTGGTGGCCGCATAATTTTGTCTTGTAAACTTATAGATTTCAGCTCTTGCATCTGTAATTTAGGGTTAATGGATCTTCTAAATAATGGGGATTCATTTAGTTTGCTTAATCAGCAATTGCAAAATCCTATAGGCGCTTGCTAGACAGAATTCTCTCTGATGGTCATTGGGTGAATTACTTTCCTACTTGCTACAAATTGTTGGAATCATTGATGTCATATCATTCTCCTATTCATTACCTGCTTTGCAGGTTTCTCAACATGAACTATCGGAGTGCTTGCACTGATTTCCATAACATTTTTCAATGCTTGAGATATTCTGGTTAAAGATGATCTTATATTTTCTCTATGTAATATGTTAAATAATGTAAAAAATGCCCTTAAAACAATTAAATGGAGCTCTTTCACTTACATTCAAAACACTGTTACTCAACCCAAATCTCAGCAAAAGAAAATCTATCATGATCTTGATAGCAACCATCTTTGCGAAAATCTTCTTTCTCAAGCATTTGCTATTCAAAATAAGCTTATTCCTATTAAGAATAAAATTGGCATTTAGAAAAAATGACTTACCTGATATCCTTGAATATCATTGATAAGACGACCAAATTTGCCCAAAAGTTTTAATAAATTCTTGTATTCCGGAGATCCGATGATGTTCTCTAAAAGTTCAGGCACAGCCAAATAGATAGAAGGTAGAATAATAGGCCCCAGAGCAAATGATGGAATTGCACTAGTCATGTACTCATCAAAAGTAGGAAATGTACTATTCTGTCGCCACTCAGCTTCTTTCATCTCGGAGCTCAACAAAACTAGCCACTGCCAGTTACAACATGTCAAAACCTTCAGACAAAAAATTTGTTTAACTAAAAGCACAAGAAAAAAAAAAACTAAACTAAATATGTCGATTAATTGCCCAAATAGGGTGGTTGTGAATGAAGTACAAAATGGAATTTATTTGGATAACATTCAATATATAAATTCTGTAAAGCAATTCACCATGTTTAGCAACACTCAAAGGTATATGCACGGCGTACCACATTAATAATATCCTTGGTGACATCACGCTTTTGGAAAAGAGAAGCCTTTGCTCCAAGTTCATTAATAGTATTGTAGAGAGCAAAAAAAATGATCTTTACATTTTCAGAGCAGAAGTCTTTTTCTTGAACTCCATGCCATCTGCCAAAGATTGAACCATCAATGACAAAAATATTCTTCATGATAGCCACTACAAAAGAAAATAAAGATAGAGCATACTTCTCAACCAGCTTGATAAGATTTGCTAGTTCTTCGGAGGAACCTCCAAAATCAAAAAAATCATCTATTACAGTAATTAGTGTACTACATTGGGCCCAACATATGCGAGCACTTGATGTTTCTGAGGAGAAAAATGTCATAACAGCAGAGAGATAACAATAAATTTGTTTCTGTCGAGAAAATCCGAGCTGATTGAACTTGCTCTCTTTAACCCAACTATTTGCACAAGAGTATTTCAAGAACAAACAAACAAAAACTCAAACTTGGATGTAAAAGATATAACGAAATAAGCTTACCTCTCTAGATACTGAAGTTCTTTCTTATATGTCAATTGGGAAGTATTGAATGTATGCACAGCAAGCTTCAGAAGGTCATTATTTTTCATACTATACCTAATGAGAGTTTCCACATAAATCACAATTTTTTGAAAGAGCAAAAGATCATGCAAGGTAAGGTTTTGCCTCCCTCATTTTACTCAAAAAATAAACAAAATTAAAACTTACACAAATGATGACTTGAGCATATGCAATTTATCTGAATTGTAGTGTTCAATATTTAATTTGTGCTCCAGCCTTTCCATACTTGCGTAAAAGGGAAACCCGAGCGTATGATCAACCTAAAAGAAATAGGATGCAAGGAACAAGTCATCTAAATTGAAAGTTCACAAGCAACCAGCAAACTTCAAAATAACATAGAAACACGTGTTTACAAAATCACACACACACACACAGAGTAAAAGTTAAGTTACTGGTTTGCATTACCTTTTAAAAATACACATAACAAAAGAAAATAAACTTTGAAAAGGAATGCTAACAATTCCTTAATATAAAAAATAAGATCTGAACAAAATCAATTTTAGTTCTTTTTTCATCTCCTAAATTTTACATCGGCTCATCTATCATCCCATTTGGTATTCACTTTTTCATAAGAATTGCAATCAGTATGACATGTGGAAGTTTTCCCGGCCATCTTCAATTGATATTTTAATCAAATAATTTTCATTTTGTGGAAACTGGTATTCGGTGCCAAATCCGTTGAGCAAGCATGGGCAAAAAACGAGGGATAAAATTATTATAGCACCATGGAGGTTGATGGAGTTTTGGACAGAAAATTGAGACCTGGTAGATCATTTTGGACAGAAAAATTCTTTCACTGGTTATCCATGGAAAAGATAACACCAGCTGGGCTGCAATATAGAAGAATAGAAATACAGAGAGCAGGAATTGAGCCGAGGAAAACTAAAGCCTCATACCAACTTCCATTAACTGAGAACCTATAAATATTACATAGGAAATGCAGAAGATATGAAAGGAAACATAAGAGTAAAGCAAATATATTGGAGACGTGGGGAATCATGATATGTCAGAATAGGGAGCAGAGCAAATGGTCCTACTGTCAGAGGTTAGTTACTATTATAGTAGAGAGCATTTCGGCTGGTGATAATTGTGAGAGGTGTAGCTGTTAGTTGTCAAGGCCATCTTCAATTGATATTTTAATCAAATAATTATAATTTTGTGGAAAATAGTCTTAGGTGCCAAATCCATTGTGCAATTCTGTATTGCCTCATATCTCTTTGCATTCCTACTTTAATAGTTTATGTAGGAACTCTATCTTTCCATTTATTTTCAGAGTCAAAAATCATTTCTAGAATTTAAAACTTTATGAATTGGGTTATATATAACATAATAAACATCCTATCCAATCCCCCCCCCCCCCCCCAACCTTTTGGCAATCTTTCCAAATCTGTATTGCCTCATATCTCTTTGCATTCCTACTTTAATAGTTTTATGTAGGAACTCTATCTTTCCATTTATTTTCAGAGTCAAAAATCATTTCTGGAATTTAAAAATTTATGAATTGGGTTATATATGACATAAAAAACATCCTATTTTTTTCCCAATCTCCCATTCTAAATCCTATTCAACAATCAACACAATATCCCCATAATAAGCTTAAAAAATTAAAGGAAAGCAAATGTGGAAAAGTACAAATCAACTACCTCTTGTAAAATATCCAGTGAGTGGTTGGCATTGGTATTCAATTCTTCCTTGAGAAAATGAGTCACCCAAGAATTTAATTTCTTTAGAACTGCTTCCTCCGGTGAGATCTGAACCTGTGAAGCCTTATAGAGCTCGATAATAGCATTTAAATCTCTAATATATCCCTGGAGTGTATTCTTGAAATGCCTCATATCAGCAAATGGAGCTAAAGCATCTGTAAACAATGATGGTGCTCAGAGACATTGAATTAATCAAATATAGATGATCAACCTTATGAAACAACGAAAAGCTCTAAAGGGATAACTTACCAGAGGAGACGTCATATCCATGCAAACGTAAAAGTCGAAATGACATGGCACAAGTAGCTATGTTTAAATAAATTTCCTCATCTTTATCCACCCAACATCTGTAACATGAGAAAGTCAGGTTTTCAAATGAGCATAACAGTCAGAGTTAACAAAAAATTAGAATTTGCTATATGATCTCCACCTATAAGCTCTGTCTAGAATTCCCCTTATATCATGAATGAAATGCAGAGAAACTCCAAGCCTCTCAAGTTTATCAACCACGGAAAGATGCATATGTATGTCAAATGGGTAGGTTGTTGGAACTATAAAACACCAAGCTTGAATTAATATATAAGACCAAGTAGTACACATGCATTAAGTTAAATTTGAATGGAAATTTAGCACTGCCACCTGAGCAGCCAAACTTTTGTAAGACAGAACTCAAGTAATTAAGGGATTTATCATCTCGAATATGGCAAAGTGCAGCAGCAGTTGTTGAGGGGGAGTTAAAGAGTGAGCCATTTTTTCTTTGATAGCTCATAACCTCTTTCCAATCATGTAAGCCGCATAGTCCTTCAGCAACAAATGCAAGGTAAGCCTTGCTTCCAATCATATTTTTCTCAACCTCTCTGAATTAAAAAGAATGAACGAAAAAAAAAGCGTGATTGCTTAAGAAATATAGAAAAAATTCAATAATGCAACCATAATGCAATGGTCATAATTATGATGAAAAATAACCCTGAGATATAGTAAAAGATTAACTAGTAGTATTGGTAACCAAATTAGTCACCATTAACCCTAGGTCAATGATTTTATAGATTTGAAAGCTATCCAACCGAAAATAAAATAGAAGCAATGCAACCCTAAAATTTCCACCTAATTCCTTGTAGTGATTATGGATTTGGATCATTTCGTTATTTGAGACAGGTTTCCAAAACATAATCCTGTTTTATATCTTGCCAAGGTAATTCCAATGATTTTGGCAATCTTCCAATTACGATTTAAGAATTTTTTATTATAAAATTAGCAAAATGTTTATTCATTTCCATACTAATCAAGGCAAGGATTTCAACAAAATTTGACATAATTTCTCCAGCTTCTTTTATAACTCACTAGTTCAGCCCAAAGATTTACTATCACGATATGTTACTGAGACTCCACTACTTATAATAGAGACCTATCAACGGAGGAGTTTACAACGCATTTTGACCAGTTGCAGATGAAGTGCGAGTTAGTTGATCATGAGAAACATTCCATAGATCGATATCTAGAAGGCGGGGGGGCGGGGGGACGGGGCCGCTATCAGCAACATTGTGTAGTTGCAGCCCTATTGGTCACTAGAAGATGACCAAACCTTAGTTTTGAAGATAAAGAGACCACAGCAACATAGTAGACAACCACCACCATTTAGGCAGCCACTTGCACTTGGAGACGTCAGTAGGAGCATGCCTCAAAGAGTTAGAAAATTAACTCGGATAAAGACAGAGCCACCCCGAGCTAAAGGAAACCTGAGAAGAGTTGCACGCTTACTACAATTCCGGCATGAAAAATGCTTTGATGCCATGAATTTCGGCGCATTACCTCCAGCCACACAGCAAATCGAGTAGTCTTTTTCCGAGATGTGAGTCATGGAGGAGGTTAGCGACGAGGAGGCAACTGTTAAAGTGAAGTGTATTATTGATACCGCTTCCAGGTGCACTCACACTCTAAAGGCTCACGCAAGTGTACGTATCGTATCAGTAATGTCATATTTTTGAGTCGGAATGTCGATCATACAAGGAACAATGGAAATAAACTTAGGGAAAAGTTCTAGTCTGCTAATTTTCATTCTTGGTCTGTATTTGAGATTAAGTTAAAGTTCTACAAACTACTACTAAATTGAAATCTATTTTAAATGTTAAATCCTACAAAAATCCTAGTTAACATAATTGAATTGGTAAATATCAAGATATAAAATTATCCTCCCTTGTCATGATTTGAGTGGAGCATAGGAAATGTAAAGTGTTGATTGTACATGTGGCTAGTGACAAATATGAGCAACTCACATTTTTACCCTTTTTCGAGTGCATAAAGAAGATTAGTTAAAATGACATTAATTTCTTAAATCCCGTTTTGAACCTACTGCAAAGTACTTGTACCATACCCCATAGTTCGATGTGATTAACTTAGTTAATTCTATGATAGCTCTCCCGAGTTTTTATGGATCACATCACATTTTAACAGTTTATTTACCGGAATGAAAAGTAAGTGATCATCATATTAAATATTTAGAAACAAATTTGAAAACATTTTACAATCTAACACATCCTACTCAAACATCACAAAGGCAAAGGGTATTACTCAAAAAGCATGAAAAACAAACCAAAAAGCTTCATTGAAAACAATGAAAATCTACTATTTGATATAAACAGTACAAACACTCAAATACTTATCTCCTCCTTTAGAAAGCTTTGAAGATGCTCCATTATATGTTTTTCAACACGTTTAATTTTCTGTCTTCTACACATGTTTTTTTGGATGAAACTGCACTTTAAAGAAGGGTATTCTTGTTTTTTTCTTGCAGGTATAACAGATAGGACACATGGAGTGAATTGGAGCTGAAACGGAGCGAAGTGGACGCAAAATGGGGCAAAAGACAATCCAGCAGACCGGTGCCTAGGTGCCAGCTTCTAGGCGCAAAGGCGCTGCCCACCGGCACCTTGGCGTCAGCTTATGGGTGCATAGGCGTCGAAACCTTCCAGGCAACCCGAGAAGGTAGCGCCTAAATGCCACAAATAAGCATTAAGGCATTGATACCTGTCAGAGCGGTTTCAGCACAATGAAGGGAGTTATGTGACGGATTTTGATGCTTGGAGAAGACACTTTTTGGCATTTCCAAATCCTGGAATTTTCCAGGAATGCCAAGAAGTCGTAGATAGGCGTAGCGATTGTAGATATTTTAACCTTTTCTTGAGAGATTGGTGAAGGTTTTCAGAGAAATTTGAAAGGGAAGTGCGCAGCATTGTAGGGAGTTCATGGTTTCATCATTTAGTAAACTTTTTGACTTTTTTCAGAGGAAGAAAGCTAAGTATCGTGTTTCTATTTGTATTGAATTTGTTGTAAACACATTTAGTTCAATTGTTATGTTAAATGATGATGATTTCCATTGCAATCTTCATGCTTTGTGAGAGTATTCCTTTACCCTTCTCCTGTGATGAATAGGTAGGAATTGTAGGATGTGTTGAATGCTTTATAATTGGATTTTAATACTCATATGATGATCTTTTCTTCTATTCTTCATTTACTTTTGTACTGGTCATATAAATTCTTAAAATATGTTGTTAACCTACAAAGACTCGAAACTGCTATGGCATAAACAACTAGGGAGATCACATTGTTCGATAGACTGGTGAAATAATTCACAGGGCAATGCAAATAGATAGGGAGATAGGTTTTAATCGGTATACCTTGGGGGTTTCTAGAGTGACAGGCTGAAATACTTACCAAGTTAAAGTAAACTTCTTTATACACTCGGAAGAGGGTAAACAAGATATATGTTCCTATTTGTCACTAGCCATATTAGAAATCCTTAGTATTCAATCCTACATTCCACTTAAGCAATCACAAGAGAAAGGTAGCTTTTATATCTTAATACTCACCAATACAATTGATATAGTTAGGTTTAGTTTTAGACTTATTACTATAGTTTAGGAGTAATTGTTAGAAAAACCATTTTAATTTACATTTCAAACTAAGACCTTAATGTAGCGGACTATAACTTTTCTTTATAGGACTCACTACCTCCTTCCTTGTGGGATCGACAATCTGGACTTAATAGAGCCCTATATTGCTGAAACAATACGTATACTTATATTAGAAACCCAGTGACTAATAATATCTAATTTTAAGAACTCAATATATTTTCTAGGAAACAGATCAAGTTTCTGGTGTCATTATCAAGGCTTACATTATTGTGATAATCACTGGGGCGGATCAAGTTTCTAACGTCGTTACCGAGGAAGACGGTAAAGTCCTTTTTAGGAGATTTTAGTTCGACCTGTAAGACTTAGATTTGAAAATTGTAATATTATTACCTAGTTTGTCTAATTACTGTTTGACTATTTAAAAGAAAATCCAAAATACAATTATAATTTTAAGTGCTTGAAGTCTTGGATATATATCATATTAGTTAACTCTTTAGAGTTGAATGCGAAATTCAGAAGCTGCAGACCTTGAACCATATGACTCAAAATCAGAGAACATTAAGGAGGATTAGAAAATAGAAAAAACTCCAAGAATCTGTAGTAGAAATGGCATATCAACAAGTTAACGAAGATTCATTTCATTATTATAATGTTAATAAACCTTTAAGGGATTATGCGAACACTACGGTCAATGAAATCCATTTTAAGTATACAAACTTCCGCCGTAGAGGCAAACACTTTCGAACATAAGCCTGTTATAATTCTAATGGTGCAAAATAATCAATTTGGAGGATCTTCGTCTGAAGACCCTAACATACATATAGCGAGTATGTCATAACCCTGCGCCACATTCAGGTATGATAGATTTTCTAATGACGCTATTAGACTTACACTTTTTCCCTTTTCCTTAAGGGATAAAGCTAAAATGTGCTTGAATTCATTAGCACCTGGATTGATTAGAACATAGACTCATTTAGCACAGAAATTTCTTTCCTAAGTGTTTTCCACCATCTAAAACCGCTAAGTTGCGGAATAATATCACTTCATTCTGTAAATATGAAGGGGAATCAATTTATGTGATTTGAGAACGATTTGAAAAGCTTCTTAGGAAGTGTCCACATTACGCATTACCTGATTTGCTTATTATTCAAACCTTCTATAACAGATTAGTTGGATCTTTGAGAACGATCATCGACACTGATGCTAGAGGTTCACTCATGTTGAAACCAATTGAGGATTCCTATTATCTTATTGAGGAGATGGTCACCAACAACTTTCATTGGCCATCCGAGAGAGTAAACCCCAAGAAAGTAGAGATTATTTATGAAGCTGATATAGTTTCTATATTAACTTCTCATGTAGCAGCTAATACGAGAAAATTAGACTAATATAGAATGAGTCAACCTCAATTCATCGAGGAAAACACATTTTGACAGTTGGTTCACAGTAACTCTTTTAAAAGTATCTATGCGATAAACAATCGACCAAATAACCCTTATTCCAATTATTACAACCCAGGTAGGAAGAATCATCCTGACTTTAACTGGAATAACAACTCTGGTGGAGGAATCCAAAAATGAGAAAATAATCCAGTTAATCCTATAAGTAATTGAAAAAATCAAGGTAATCCTAATTTTAGACATTCTTTTCCTCCTGGATTTAAGTCCAACTCACAGTATAAGGAGAAGTTGTCTATAAAAGAGGTTCTTCAAATGGGGAGTCAATTGCATAACCAAGGGGCTGCCATAAGGAACATGGAAAACTAGCTAGGGAAGATTGCTAACTTACCTGGCAATAGTCATCAAGGGATTCTTCCCAGTAGTACCGGAGAGAACCCTAAGGAGAAGAGAGCAATTAAAAGGGATGAAGTTAAAGAGTAGAAAAGAATTGGAGTATGTGGTTCAAAAGAATTAAAGAAAAACCTATGGAAGAAATTTCTAAGAAATTAAAGAAGCCTATTTCTCATGCTAAGATAAGTATAGAAAGACCACCTCTACCATTTCCTTAGAGACTCCAAAAACAAAAACTAGACCAACAATTCTCAAGATTTATAGAAATATGCAAGAAATTGACGATAAGCATTCCTTTTGCCGAGGCATTAGAGCAAATGTCCAATTATGCAAAGTTTATGAAGGAAATTGTTAACAAAAAAGGAAGTTTAAGGATCATGAAACAGTAGCACTTATTATACAGAAGAAGTTTCCTCAGAAACTTACAAACCCTGAGAGCTTTACGATACCTCATGAAATTAAAGAAAATTTTTATGGAAAGGCATCATGTGGTCATGGAGCGAGTATCAACCTCATGTTTTTATCTATCTTTAAGCGATTAGGATTATAAGAGATAGCACCTACTACTGTGACCCTACAATTTGTTGATCGATCTATCAGTTATCTAAGGGAGGTTATAGAGGATGTCTTGGTGAAAGTGGATAAGTTTATCTTTCTTGTTGATTTTATTGTGTTAGATATAGAGGAAGATAAAGAAATCTCTATCATTTTGGGTAAACCTTTCCTAGTCACTAGTCGTATCATAATAGATGTTCAAATAGGAGAGTTAACTATGGGAGTGAATAATTAAGAGGTCACTTTAAATATGTTAAAAACTATGAAGTAACCTTCTGGGGAAAATGACGATGCTTGTTTCAGGATGGATTTGATTGATCATCTCCAATAAAGCCATTTTCGAGAGACTCATGAAGTTAAATCAATAGAACCAGATTTGGATGAAGAAATTAACAAGAGATCACCTAAAAAATAATTGTTTAAAATTATGGAATGACACATTCCATCATATGCAAACATAATCATATTGGTAGAAATGTTACGCCCTACGGACTGACATATCGAAAAAATTTATCCACGATTTGTTCGGGTGATGACGTTAAACTAAGCGTTTCGTGAGAGGCAACTAATGGTTATCTGTGTTACTGTGCTTTGTTAGTGTGTTTGTGTGTTGTGTCTGTTTAAGTTATGTTTTTCTTATGATGTGTTTTACTTGTATGTGTTTGTTGTGATCTAGATGTTGTTTGTGAATGATTAGATTTGATTTCTTAGAATATTTTCATTATGTGTAGTTTTCAATCCCAGGAGATTACAAAAACTTTGCTACCTTCAACGTGAAGATAGATGTTTCGAAGAATGTGGTCAAAGCTCCCGCCAATATCGATAGACTAATGCAGGCACGCCATGTAATGTCGTTGGAGCAGTGTGGAGGAAGTCACGGGCTTTTCTCGCTGTGCCCTTCGTCTGGACTGAACCCGCGAGGACCGATCGAATGTGATTTTTGCTGTTAAGTTTTCAGTTTTTGGGTTAGATTTTTGTCAAGATAGTTGTCAACGTCCAAGTTTTCCCTTCTAGGGCTATATCTGATGACAAGTAGTGCTTCGAATGCATCTCACCTGAGGTAGTGATTATCCTCAACCACCACACCCCTCTACAACCCTCCCTCCACTGTCGCTGCTGCCAAATTTTGTTGCAGCCACCGAAAAACATCCACATTCCTATTTTTCTACATTGTTGAACACCACTGCTCCCCTCCCAATTTGTTATCCCTTGCCACCAAACCTTCTTCTTGTTGTTGTCATCCTGAGGACAGAACGCTCGCTACCATTCCGCAGTTCGAGCCCTTTATTTTTCTGCAGTGTTGACCACCACTTCTCCCCTCCCAATTTGTTATCCCTTGCCACCAAACCTTTTTCTTGTTGTTGTCAACCTGAGGACAGAACGCTTGCTACCGTTCCGCAGTTCTAGCCCTAACTATTGCCGCCATCACTATCACAACCATCCCAACAACCTCCTTTACCTATTCTAGGCCTCTTACTTTGTTGTCGCACACACTTGCGCTCCCCTGCTTGCTGTCCAATCGACCCAATCCACTTCCAGCTTGCTGCAGCACCCTCCACCGCATCCAACCTACTACCAGCCACCAAACCAGCCTCTACTCACTACCGTTAAGCCTCTCACCTCCCGCTCTTTTTTCTCACTAGCTCGACACACAGCCCACAGCCTTCAATCCTCGTCTTACATGGTCTTTTGTGCTTGTGTCATTGTTTTCTTAATGCAAATATCTTTGTTTGTAGTTTTTTTTTTTTTTTTTAATTTTAGCCATAATATTTTCATTTCTATTATGGTTTGGGTCAATTCTGGTAACATGAATGCTACCTCAATACTTACAAAAGAAACTACAACAAAATCTATAATAAAGTTTACTACAAAACTCAGCAATAGAGACTGCAAAATTGTTCAAAGGATGCGACTGATTAATATTTGGAGATGGACACTTCTATATATAAATTCATATATAATCCTGAACGGAAAATATCTCACAAGTAACTCCTCAAGATTGTAATACCTTTTGCATGAGTGTGAGAACCCTAAGAGAAATTTTGACTTTTTACCAAGTTTAAAGTGAGTTGTTGCCTTTCACGGATATGGATTATTGAACCTCATTAAATTTTGTGTTGTTGTGGGTATGCTGGTTTTTTTTTTTTTCTTGAATTTTGAAGCTCCCATTAAACATGAACTCTATAGTATACTCATAAACTTGGGACATTGCACAACACAAGGACATAAATAGCAATATGTTTAAAAATTAAATTATTAACACTCTACACTGCATGATGATATTATTTCTATTAGATATATGATTAAGTATCTTGAAACAATCAGTTCTTTAACACTAGCAAATAAATTGTATAACTATAAATTATATGCATGACCAAAGTAAAAGAATATGGCATTGAAAGCATTTGCCACATTTCACAGATCTGCAAACTTTTGAGTAAGAACGTGCAAGCAAGAAGTTTGGCTCCCTAATTGTTTTGTTTAAGCACGGATCCTAATGAATTAACGCGCTGAAGGGTACATAAATGATATTCATGTAGGAGTTTTACAAAAGAAGAGGATTTCAAAGGAAAGTACAAGCATATTTAGCTTACATTTGTGACAAGCGAGGATGAGGAAGCGTGGAAATTTATTTATTCAATCCAACTTTCAATATTGAATGGTTAACCTCATATAAGATGAGACATGAAGTGAGGATTGAATTGGAGAGAAGATGGCAGTAGACATTTCCATTACCAATAGAGATGAATGAACAGCAATGTTATTGATATTTAACGTCTTTTCAAATCTACATGAACTAGCTCGCTTACAGTAAACTAGCTAGGAAAAATGTTTCTTCATATTAACTAATAAAATTGCAAAGGCTGCTTCTATAAAAAATAAAAATCGACTGATGGTCAAAAGAAAGCCAAACATTGTTATATCCTGAATGTATTGCCACAATGATTTACTAATCTTTTCACAAAATAAGTGTGCTTATAGTGTTTTAAACGACGGAACTTAATTTTCAAGGGTGTCCACAATTTTCATGTTCAAATTCTACAAACATTTCAGAATGGGAAGCATCTAGAATTTGCTTGAATCAAATTTAATTGTTCTTCTTAAGGAAATTAAAACATAAATGATCCTAAATAATTGTGAAACATAATCTGCGAAGAGTTTCAAACCTTCCAAGTTTTTCTTCCCTCATAGAAAGCATTGCATCTATGTCACTTTCTCTCAATGGAAGATCCAACCCCATATTTATTGCATAACTGATCATACCTGGAAATATAATACTAAAGCCAACAGGAGATTGTTGTCGCTCATTTACACTAGAGAAGAAATTAGATCCAAGGGTGTCCACAATTTTCATGTTCAAATTCTACATACATTTCAGAATGGGAAGCATTTAGAATTTGCTTGAATCAAATTTAATTGTTCTTCTTAAGGAAATTAAAACATAAATGATCCTAAATAATTGTGAAACATAATCTGCAAAGAGTTTCAAACCTTCCAAGTTTTTCTTCCCTCATAGAAAGCATTGCATCTATGTCACTTTCTCTCAATGGAAGATCCAACCCCATATTTATTGCATAACTGATCATACCTGGAAATATAATACTAAAGCCAACAGGAGATTGTTGTCGCTCATTTACACTAGAGAAGAAATTAGTTCCGATGAAGGAGAGACCTGCAATGGAAACTCCAAGTCTCAATTTCAAATCCATAATATTTTTATTTAAGAAGAGGTTTACAAGTACCTTTTTTGACATACTCCTCACCAACTTTCCATCGCCAAAGTGCCAGCACACAAGCTAAAGTGGATGACAAAATATCTTTAGTAATAGAAGGCTTGTGATGTGTGGGGACCCATGAACCATCAGGAAGCTGATTATCCATTATCCAATCAAGACATTCTGGAAAGTAAGGAGTTCTAGGAAATGTTGAAGATGGGACCATCGAAACCCAAGCAGTATCATATGCAGACACTGAGAGTTCGACCTTTAGTAGCCTCTCCCTTATTTTTTCTAAGAATCTTCCAGATTTCTACAAATCATTTCAAAAATTTTGGCTCAAGTATTAATCTGTAATAAGAAGAATCATGGCATTCATATTAAGCGAAGATGTTTTGCATACCACATTTGGATCATCAGCACTAAGAAAATCATTTTGCCCATGATCCAGGATAGCTAAATGCATAAATAAAATTCATTAACACATAATAAACATAATAAGGCACATAAATATAGGTCAACATTAATGGGACAAAAAGAAAGACTTCAAAGTGTCATTTCATTTTACAACAATGGCATCAGACAACCATGTATAATTGCATTGCAAGTTAGCAAAATAGATGAACTCTATGTAACAGTGCTACAAGATGGTCAAATAAACAGAAAAAGAATGTGCAGATTCTCATCTTCACTCAAAATCCTTAATGAAAATTTAAAGCAATATCTTTTTATTTCACTCCCCTTGCTAGTATGTTTGCTCATAACCAAGATAGGCTTGTGGTTTGAACGTGCAAGCAATCGGGCTTCCTCAAGTAGAAAAAACAAAACGAAAGCAGTCCTAATTACTATAGGCTAGCTTTTATGTGGAGAAATTGAGCCAGTACAGTGTATATTGATCTCAAGCATGATAGCCTTTTTTAATCTATCAAACAACAGTAGTTCAGTAAAATTTGGGATGGAGTTTCTTTTGAAAAATTAAGAAAGAAAAATTGTAGAACCTCAGCTAGTAAAAATAAGTTTGACGATGAGTTCAACGCTCTTCAACGACGGTACATGGTCATTAGTGCCTCTCCAAGAAAATCATCCTATTATGGGCTGTCACTGGAGGTATGCTACCAAACGAGATTTGATGGGCACAATCACTAGATACAAGGCTCACCTAATAGCTTAAGGACATCGATAAGAATTTGGAGTCAACTTACGGGCTCTGTACAATACATCACGGTCACGAGACCGGACATCTCTTATGCAGTCAACAGGTTATGCCAAAACATGCAATTTCCTACCACATCACAAAATCAATAATTAATCCACTTATTGTGTTGCCTACAAGGCACAAGCCACTTCGGTCTGCAAATCCAATAGGGGGATCTCACTCTTAGAACCTAAACTGATGCTAATTGGGAAGGCGATCACCTACGTCGAAAATCTACAATAGGAGTATGCTCATTTCATAGTAATACACTCAAATCCTAGATGGTAAAGAAACAATCCACCGTTGCACCGTCATCTATGGAGATTGAGTATCGAGCATTAGCAATGGCCACAACAGAGGTAATATGGCTGAGAAGACTATTGGAGAAATTCGGTATTCAACTCAAGCAACCTACAACATGACATTGTGACAGCATATCGGCTATCTGTCTAGCAAACAACCCGGTTTGTCATGTCTGAACCAAACACAAAGAGATTGACTCTCATTTTATATAGGACCATATCTACTCCAAACAAATTCAACTAGACTATGTTCCATCTCAGGATCAGTTGGCAGATATATTAAACAAGGCTCTATCCAAATGCCGCTTATATCAGCTTTGCACCAATCTTCAAAATCTCCCGAACACCATCAACTTGCAGGAAGGGTATCAGCGGTAACATACCACAGATCAATTAGACTCACCTGAGGTTACATGAATCTTATGTTGTAAGTCAATAACTAACAGCTTTTCAAGAAACTTCACCTCTCCAGTATATATACGCAAAGCTTGCTGTTTACGCTGGGTATGGATACAAAATCAGATACAGAAATTTCTCTCCTCTCTCGGTAAATAGTATTCTCTTGCTAACTCTCTTTGAGTATAATATATTTAAGGTTGAAAAATCACTAAATTGTCGAGACTACATAATAAAAATACATTAAACTTTAACTTTTATAAAAAAAAATTTACAAATTCCAGTGGTTCCGCCCCTGTATAGAAAAAACCTTCAGTAGATGTAGGGTCTTATTGGGAGAATATTATTCTATACATCAAAAAGGAAAATTGCCAAACCGGATATATTAGTCACAACTAAAGCAACTATTTTTGGCATGATATGGCAGCTAAATTATTTCCTGTAAGCACATAAGACTGCCGTTATGGAAAAAAAAAAACCTGCAAATAAAATACTGGTGGATCAGTGACGGAATGACTGTAAACAGAAACTAAACCTTGAGGGCCGCCTGCATTGACCACCGAGTTCCTTTCGAAAGCGTACGTATAAACACGGGACCTTCCAACGCCAACAAAAGAGATAGCCGGAGAAACAGCAATAGAAAACATTTTGGCTGCGAGATGATTCCCTTGACACCAACTGCGGACATAGAAAAAAGAGGAATTAAACATAGAGCTTGAAACGTAGCCATAAAAAAGCAAATCGACCGTACCCACAAAAATAAAGCGAGACTGCAGCTTCGGTAGAATCCAAATAAAACTGAAATGACGCAACGCAGCTGGAATGAATCGATGATCGATGAGGGACGGGGAAAAGGGAGCACGAGATAGCAAGTGACAGAAGACAAGTGACAGAGGATTGCATGATTAAATAGGGAAAAGGATCAAGAGACTGAGGGACACCTGGCTGTTGAGGAAAACAATCCATGTTCAACGGTGTGAAGCTGAAAAATAGTGCATTAAATCCTCCGCTATCTACCAGTGCTGGCTAGTAGGGGACATTCATTATTATTATTTGTTAACTTGTTCTAAAAAAGTTGTAATTTGGATGTACTTTAAAAAATCTGTCTCTGAATTATAAAAAAGATGTAATCTTACACGCCACTTTCCAAGCTTAATAAGATTGTGTTTGGGGCAACTTATTGATGGGGTTTGTATTTTGAAAATGCATCTCATGTGTTTGTTTATCGTGTTTTACCTGCGTATCCTAAAAAGCCCTTCTGGTTTCTTTAATAAACACAACTGCGGGATTGACCCCGCGGCCCGCTTCTTCAATTTTGTATCCTACGTTTTTTTCTCCCGTGCCTTTGAGTATGGTTGTTGCTGCCATAGGTCACTTCTCCCTCTCCTCTCTCCCTCGCCTCTCCCTTGGTTGCTCCTATCGACATATCCCGGCTTTCTCCTTCCTCTCTTTACTGAGATCCCAGAGTCGGTTTCCCGCACCATGACTCACGACGACCCGTGCCATTGGTTTTGTCCTCTATCAGTCCTCTTTTTCATCACTCTCCTACTACAGCGGAAGCAGGTCATCTGGACCTCTCTAATGTGAATTTGTAGCAGATTTGTTTTCTCGGTTGCTTGTTGGTGAGCTAGCTAATTTTTTCTAGTTGGGATCTCTCTAATGTATTGTTTCTCTATATGCAATTTGCGGGGTTTTTTGGTCGCAATGGTTGCCTCTCTGTGGTTTTCATATTTTATGGATTTCTTTGGGATGTATTACGTTTTTTGGATAATATTTGAAGTAAAATGGGTGCATGAGTTTTTTGTGTAATTCTCCCTTTCGAATGGTTGTTTAGAGTTGCTCTGTTGTTATGGTTGCTTTGGTTGGAGGCCGTGTTGGAGGTTGTGGGTGATGTTCTTGTTGGTGGCTTTGGGTGTGTGTTGTGTTTGTCTTGGGTTTGTGGGTTGGTGGTGGATGTGAGTGTGTGTGTGTGTGTTGTTGGTTGTGGATGTTGTGCTTGTTGGTGCCATGTGGAGGCTGTGTTGGTGATTGTGGGTGATGTGTCTGTTTGTGGCTCTGGAGGCTATGTTGGTGGGTGTGAGTGAAAGTAAACAAAAGCATCCGATACGGAAAGGTCAAAAGAACTAAATGTAAGAAAACAAAAGCAAAAGAAAACCCATTATCGTATATAGAAGATCGGTACTGGGTGTAAGACATGGGTAAAGGTGGAGGCTCAGAGTTGGACTGTGTGCTTCCCGACCTTAAGTAAGAGCTACCAACCTGATCAAATGATTAACCATGGACCTTTATAAGTTTTAATTTGAATTTAATTTTCATGCATATAAAATTTACTTTATCATGCAAAAAAGATTTTTGTTTAAAAAACTTTATAGAGTGATGCAGTCCACAGGTTAATCAATTTAATTGAGCTAAGACTACAAATAACCTAAGAGTATCGTGGGTACTCATCTTCTCAAGAGTCTTCGAATAGTACCATCGATCCTTATCCTCTCCTTCTATTAAAGGTCCTTGAGGTATGACATACCATCCTAAAATTGCACATCGTATCCCTCGTTTTAGCACACATCGGCATTATCATCATTGCCCTAACCACCAAAATCTCAGACTTACAACAGCCTGATGATCCATATGCTGCAAAAACAAAATCTTTCCAGTTGCTCACAAGGATTTAAATACCTTAGAGAAGACTCAAATCCTTGAGCATTAGGTTAATTAATATAAGATAAGTAGTGTAGGGTATTTTTATTGATTTAGGTGAATTATGATTTAGGTATTGATTTAGGTGAATTATCAGGTCCCGATGTATAACTAAGCTCAAGTCAATAAGGATCACATACCCATGATCAAAGTCGGGCTTGTGGTGTTTAAAAGTACTCATTAATCAATCATGTTTCTCTTCTCTAAACCTCATTAAAAAAGCTTAAATATTAAGCCTAGCTCACTAGTAAGCCCTAAGATCCAATCTCGGGGTTATAATCAAAATGTTGAATTAGAGGTACTTAATTCTTATTAAAAGATCATGCTTATCATCTAATCACCAATTAGAGGCGGCTTCAAATAAGTGAATTGTTATCTTCCTAGCTTAAGCTCACTACCTTAGTATCATCCAATTGAATTAACCTCCAAGTCATAACAATTTATAAAATCACAATTTCACCCTTATAATGAAGAGATGAAAAGTTGGTTTCTACCTCTTAAACCCTTTTGTTTCAAACATCCAAAAGAGTTTATTATGATCAAAATTGCCCATTTCCACTTTAATTAACCTAAAATTTAATTAAGGTATCAAAAATCTTAAAATTACCATTTTGCCCTAGGGCTCTCCACTCCATAACTCATTAAATCCAACTCAAATGACTATAATTTTTATGGTACCCCACTCATGGGTCAATTAAAATGTCAGAGGTGAAATTATGATTTTTTTAATTTTATTTAATTTTTATAATTATTTTAGATCAAAAATAAGATTTGCAATACTAATTTATTTAATTAATCAAAGTAAAATTTGTATTCATGGGAAAATTGTTGGAGGTTATCTTAGGTCAGAGGACCACTTGGACAAAATTTTATGATTTTTCAAGTTATATTTTAATTATTATAATTATTAATTTTAGTGATTAATTAAAATAGAAAATATGATTTAATTTCAAAAATTACTTTTTATATTTTTATTAAATCTCTCTAAGTCCAGAGAACTTAGAGAAACAAGCTTTTCTTTTTGATGAATTTTATTTTATTTATTTAGAAAAAAATATTTTAAAGGTTTCCAAGTGATCATGGAACAATTAGGAATATTTTTGGGCATTTCCATATTTTTGCAATTTTTTATTATTTTTAAATCAAAAAATAACTCAAAAATGAACTATTTGTTTTAAAATAAATTTTACTTTACCCAGGTGCTCCTGATCACAAGTAACTTAGAAAACCACTTTTCATAATTTTCATAATTATAGTTTATTTATTATAATTATTTTAATACAAAAAATCTCATTTTACATGAAAAATAGTCTTTAGTGATCAAATCAGTTTAAATAGGTTTAAAATTTTTATAGTGAGTTGAAATCATCATTATATATTGTGTAGAATAATTTTTTGTAATTTTTGAAGTATATTTTACTTATTTAAATTTTTATGATTTAAAATAACTTAATCAGCTATAGTAATGTACATAATTATTTAAATCCATCTTATATTTTTGCTAGAGTCCTCTGACTATAGGGAACTTACCAAAATAAGTCCCATATTTTTCTGAGCTATATTTTAATTTATATTATTATTTTAACCAGAAATAGACAACTAGGCTTGAAAATTAGGGTTTCAATATTAGAGGTGTCCTCTGACCTTGGAAAAATCGTAGTGCACCCTCACTTACATGAAGAATATTTCCCAAAAATTTGAAGTCCTGGTGATTATTATTTATTTAATTAAAATTAAAACAATACATAGAGTGTTTAATTACGTAAAAATAAAAGACATGTCAAATAATTTTTATTTTTGTTCCATATTATTCTCCTTCATTTACTGAGCAACAGAGTATTTTTATTTTATTTTGATGATTTTTCTACACCAAAAAATTTTTGAAGCTTATGAATTACTTTAAATTAAAAATACCCTAATTATCTACTTAACCAAGCGTCACTCTCTCATTCGAAGTTGCCTTCCGCGTCAGCGCTAACTCGGCCCGCACTTTATGTTTAATCTGTTCATCCAGCTTCTTTTCTGTTGTTGTATCAATACATGCTCAAATGAACGATATCCATTCATCATTCCCATCTGTTCTAAACTAAGAACTGTCCACACTAAAATGATGCAATCTTGTTCGATACTCAACCCAATCACTCATGGTTTGTTTCTATAGCTTCATCTGATCGAGACGAACACATCCATAAGACTAGATATCTACGAAACAAAAATTTTCTTCACAATTAATGAAATCGAAGGCGTTTTTAGGGTTTGTGAGCTATACCTTTATCCAAGAGGTGGGGCCCCGGTTGGGTTGGTTGTAGACATTCATTGAGACTCCACGAAAGCTCCTTAAAGCACCAATTTGAGTTGAGGTTGGGCCTAGGGAAGAGTTCGATCAAAGGGTGATCATGGTTTGGTCTATGAGTGGGTTGGAGTGCTCAAAATGATGGGGCTTCGGTGGTAAACTTTCTCGTTTGAGCCGAGGAAGCTTTTGTGACAATAAATTTGTAGTTTTATAGAGTTTGGCTGAGGGACAAAAAAGTCATAGTTTTTGAACTTAGAATTGAGCTCTGGTTGTGGATTTCGGTTGGGGAAAATGGTTGGAATGATCTTAGAAAGGCTCAAAGAGGCTCTGTGAACAATTTAGAGGGCTCTCCCCAAGCAAATGAATTCACTTTTTTTTGTCGTGAAGGTGGTGGTTCAAATAGAGGAGATGGGGTGGCCAATTGGGCTGTTCAGTGGGTGCAAAATGGAGCTTAGGTGGAGGGTTAAATAGTGTGGCCAATCAGAGTTAGCCACATAGGATGGGCTCAATTGGTTTAAAATGAAAAGGGAGGCTCTCTCGATTTTGGGTTTTCTGGCCATTAGGCCGGCTGGGGGAGGTGGCTAGATGGCTCAAGGAAACATGTGAGAGGTTTAATTATGAATAGAATGGAGGTTCAATCATGTCAGCTCAAGCATGTGTCACTTGGCAAAAAATAGGATGGAATCTTCTAAATCATGGGAACGTTGGTAAAAATAGGATGGAATCTCTTAAATCATGGGAACGTTGGTCCATGACACCTCTATGGTGTGCTAAGAGCATTTAGGGTGGTTATTAGGGTCTAAGTGGCTGCTGATATGGTTTAAGGTGGGTCAAACTGTATGAGTTGGCTTGGACTTGGGTTTAGGCTTGGATAGAGCTTGGATTTATTTCAATTGAATGGTCAATTGGTTTAGAAAATTCTCATGAGACATTTGGAAATCAATTGGGTTAAAGATTGAGGGGCTATGAGGTTCAATTTGGAAGAATTTGAAGTTTGCGGCAAAATTGGGGA